GAAGAAGTTCTAGGCTTAGTTAAGTTGGACACCTAGATAGTTCTTATTCGGCTTATGCTTGTACAGACATTGAATGTGATTAATATTTCCGTGCGCACTAACCTGTGTCTGTTTTCTTCCCGATAGGGAGCCGACACTAGTGGTACGGGTTCCAATATCCAATATCGTTTATACGAGCTAGTATAAACCAATTTGATTTCTTTGTGCCCGCTTCTTGATTGTAGGGTATAGGTTCCTTATCTTTGGTAAACTTCTGCATAACTCGCCCCGCCACTCGACTGTCGTAGCTTTGGTTGACTCCTAAGGGAGTAGTGCTGGGATTAATTATATGTGGTTTGTGGTATGAGGTGTTAAGACTGTTACTACTGTGAATGGAGTTGATCCTTTCGCCAGTTAGTCCTCCGGTATCGTCGACAAGAGAAAAGAGAGTAATAATAATAATGCTAATGACAGATATATTTAGTGAAGTTATCCAGACTAAGAGACAGAAACGGAAGTAGGAAAGCGTTACAACAGTCAGTTGAATAAATTTGAAGAAATATGTATATATCGGTAATAATAATATTAATAAGTTGTCAGGAGAGTAAGACGGGAGAGAATGTAAAGAGGTAAAACGACGAATTTAATTGTCTACCCTGAATGGTGTATGCGATTTTAAGGAGATAGGCCATTTGGATGGAGTCTCAGTGCCGCTGCATGGTTGTCCAGCCTTCGCTTAAAGGCGTCCAAAGACGGTGCCATAGCTACATCTGCCGGTAAGGAATTCCAGGGACGACAAACCCGCAGTGAAAAGAAGTGGGAGCGCACCCGGGTCCTTGCCCTCTGGTGAGCTATCCTTCTGGGATTTCCACGTGGAAGCCTATACCTACTCAATGGCAGAACACCTTTGTTTGGGTGATTCTGGTCATTTGTTATTTTGTAGGCAGTAATCAAATCCCCCCTAAGCCGACGGTAACTAAGTGTGAACAGGCCTAATTTCTTCAGCCTTTCATCATATGGTTTGTTTCGGAGACCAACCACTCCTTTTGTTGCCCGTCGTTGGACTCTTTCCAAGAGGTTGGCATCTCTTCTCAGCATTGGGGGTGCAATAATATTATGCACCTCAAGGTGTGGCCTGACGTATGTTTTGTACAACATTAGAAAGAGCTCAGGAGTGAGTGCACCTAACTGTCTATGCGTAAAGTGTATGACCGCATATGCCCTCGCTACATCCCCTGTGTAATTTACGCTTGTGTCCATTTTTTCCGTTAGACCTAAGTCGCGTTCCGACGTTGTGCAGGACAAGCTTTCATTGCACAGGGTGTAACTTGCATTCTGCAGTCTACAGGTGCGCAACTTCACTACTTTGCACTTTTTCAAGTTGAAAGTCATGCCACTGGCCACCGCCCAGTCTTCCAGAAGGTTTAGGTCTTCCTGTAGCCTATCTGAGTCCTCCGGACACTTTATCGCCCTCCATATTTTTACGTCGTCAGCGTACAGGAGAGTCGGGCAGCTCAGACGGCGTGGTAGATCATTGATGAAAATCAAAAACATCAGTGGTCCTAGGATAGAACCCTGCGACACTCCTGATGACGATCTGTGCCAAGATGATCGGACTCGGTTAACCTTAGTGCAAAATTGCCTGTCGGCTAGGTAGTCCTTCAACCATGACAGAAGTGGCTCACCTATGCCTGCCTGGCTTATTTTATGTAGGAGAAGGTCATGGTGAACAGTGTCAAATGCCTTCTCAAAGTCTAGGAAGACCACATGGACTGGTACGTTCAAGTCCCAGCATGATGTCCAGTCGTCCCAAGCTGACAGTAGGTTAGTGACGCAGGATCTGCCTTTTCTGAAACCATGTTGGGCTTCATGCAGTATATTAGTCCTATCGAAATATTCCCTGATGTGGTCGTCAATAATACTTTCCAGTACTTTTGATACCACTGGGAGTAGAGCTACTGGTCTATAGCTAGTGGCATTTTGCCTGTCCCCACCCTTGAAGATTGGAGAAAGGATGGCTCTTTTCCACTCCCTTGGCAGGGTCCCCGAATCCATTGAGTGTTGGAACAAGTCGCACAGGGGTCTACAGAGAGCCTCGGCGCACTGTTTCAGAACAGATGGCCTGATGTCATCACAACCTGGGGACTTCCCAGGTATGAGTCGCTGTAGCTTCCTTAGTACTATTGCGGGGTTTATTTGGGGAGTAGTCGCTAGGTCTTCCTCCTCTGAAATAGTGGTGCCACCATTTTGGTCCGTAACTGTAATATCCACATTGCTGTTTAGCTGTTTAGCGAAGGCTGAACTGAATGTTTCAGCCATCTCCAGACTAGTGAGATATTGACCGTTTGGGCCTACTAAGGCGCATGCCCCTTGGTTTGTCGGTTTTCTTTCCGACATGAATCGGTACAAGTTTTTAGGGTTTGATAGGAGTTTTTTAGCAAGGTTAGCCTGGAATGACCTTCTGTCCCTCCTGACTCTTGCATTACACCGGTTCCTGAGTTCGAGGTATGCATCATGGTCGGTCTGACTCTTAGATACACGCCACGTAAACCAAGCCTTCCGCTTTGCTTGCAGAATACGTTGCGTGCCTCTCTTCAACCATGACGTCTTTCTCTTGGGCTGTGTTGTGACTAAAGGGACGGTATCCGAGATTGCTATATGGATAATCTTTTTTACCACTTCCCAGTGTTCATCCACAGATAGGTCGTCCCATGCTAAGGGCCAGTCTGCGTCGGACAAGAGCCTCCGCATTTCAGCATAGTCAGCCTTGCTGTAGCACAGACATGGTCGCGTAACATCCCATTGCAAACGCTCACGGAGGACAAGATCGAAACCTATGACTGCATGGTCACTGCTTCCCAGAGGAGTCATGATCTGGACCTTTTCGACGAGTAGCTGGTCACTAGTTAGAATATAATCTAGTTTTGATGACTTTCCACTAGGGCCCCACCCAGTGCCACCTCCAACATTTCAGTCAGTCCCGTGTTTCGAATACTTTGCAGCAGGTTTCGGTCAAATTTTCTCTTAGCACACCCCGAGCCAAGGTTCAGTGATGGGGCATTGAAATCCCCCGCTATGGTGATTCGGTCACACCCCAAGTCTCGTATCCCTGTGATGGTGCTGAGCATTAGCTGGTTGTGCTCTGCCCCACAGGTGTTCAAGAGAGTTAAAATCCCACAAGTTCTTTGGTCAGTGCTGACAGGGATGTGGTGGATAAAAAATCATTGGCACCTTGTGACACCCATGACTTATTAATCTGCCTATTGTCTGGAGACATTATAAGCGACCTTACATGGGTTTGAACATGTTGGGGATTTTTCGTAACAAGTGGAGTATTTCGTCATGTTTTGTTACCGGATTCCATTTGAATTCTCCCGTTTTGACTAGGAGATGACGCCACCTTGAAATGTCATGAGTATAGTCTGCACTTACCATGGCAACTTAGATAAATACAACTCTTCAAAGAGTCCTACATCCTATAGAATATGGCCGATAACTTTCAGCATTAGCGCAACTGTATGAACGGCTAAATGATCACCTATCCCAACACTGAGAAACGTTGCGGGTCAGAGTTATTGTTCCAAAAAGGATGGCCGCTTCAAGCATCTCATAGGGTTTGCTCCCACGTTAGTGGCACAGCAGTCAAGAACCTTGCCGACCATGCACATGGTCCGGGGTTCGATCCGCGGTCGACGCATTCCTTTACCTCGCTAAGCCAGAAATAATGCTGGTAAAGAGGAAAGGTTGGTCATGAGGCTAGTAAACCCATCCCGTAAAAATAAACACTGCTACAGAAACTTCAATCCACTGGCTTGAAGCCCTATGCTCCACTGGGAACCTGAAAGAAAAAAAGGGTTTGCTCACCTCTTGGATAGACATTTACACAGTAACGCATATAGTTAATTCCTGCAGTCAAGCGTGTACTGCAAGGAAATGTGAACGCTGGTCAGTGAACACATGTTCACCGATGTCAGCCTCAGCTAGCGTAAACTATGCTTCCGGATGGTCTAGTCAGAGTGGCGTGGGGTGAATGGGGGTTTTGTTGGGTCGGATCTGGGTGATATTAGAACTGTGGTCACTAATCGTTATTTGAAATACAACTCAGGAACAAATATAAAATGGAACGGACCTACCAGGTTAGGGTGCGTATTTACTAAAGGTGATGCATGAGTTTAGAGTAAAAGGGGTTGTGCTGACGTTCAAAGATAGTGCGATATAAACCAACGCAATATCTTATACCTACAACTACCACAGTTCTTGTTCCACGGGGACCAGAGGCAAATCAGGACACCAAATTGATTGTTCAAGATAAGAAGTATACCTCTGGGCCAAGATCTCAGAGCGAGGATGATTGTTTAACTACATAGAGACCGTAGACGAACGACCAAACGTAACATAGCAGCGTGCTAAATGTCATACATACTTGACTGTGAGCCTTCAGCCAGGCAAGTCGACTTAAATAGTGGAGGTCAGCATCCAGTGTTGAGTGGTGAATGCTGTGGCTAACCATTTTGTGGAATTATCTACCGCCTCAGGGTGGTCAGTATTCACTTCCCAGATACCCACAGAAAATCAACCTTCATTTTGTCTGGTGCACATACTAAGTATGCATATATGAATGCGATTTTCATTATGGACGAAAAATTTCCTGGAGTTTTAAATTTCTTTCAATTTTTAATTACAAGTTGATTCCACAGTATTTTTGATACAAGTATGAAATTTTCAGCATAGTATATCGGTAGCCCAAATTTAGCAGACCGACCATTGATGGGAGGACTGCGTCGGCCAGGAATCGGATCTCAGAGCGTGTGCATCGTCGGCGAGCGTCCTAACCGCTATGCCACCGACGTGCATGGTCACAATTTTCTAGATAGAGGTTAATACATTTAAACAGACCGCATTTCAAAGTTGGACTTGGAAGTGATTTTTCTTGTTGTTGTCGACGTTTCAGCAGTAAGAACAGGACAAATTAGTTATCCAACAAGTACAAACGAACATGGAACGATCAGTTGTTCTAAAATGACAAAACTGATTTCTAAACTCAACAGCAACTCTAATCCTTCCTTAACCTTACCCAAACGTTTCCTGAAAACTATAAGCCTACCATAGCTTAAACATCAACTGGCCAGATAAGCTGTTTAACGTTTTCACACCTATTTCATCAGCTTTCTAGAAATTTAATATTGGATACCTGATTTCAAGCTCATCAAAAGGTTTAAAATAATTTTGATATATAAACCAACCACACAGAAGTTTATCAAAGACCAGGAGTCTTTACCATACGAGTGAACAAGACGAAACCAAACTGGTTTGCAATAGCTGGTGGGGAACGTTATTAGAAATTGAAGGTCAAACGGGAGGAAAATCAGTTTGTACGCTACATGATTTTGTACAGAAGTTTACTACACACCAGGAGAGGTTGTTTGCAATGTGCAAGTAGATTTCTGCATGTACAGTCTGCTCCACTACAAGGAAGTTTTAATCGGCAGCCGAATAACTCATGGACATACAGAATTATAAACAGACTGTCTCAAAAAGAAAAAATGCTCCTATACCAAGAATTGTCTAAAACTGTTAGTGGAAAGCTAGACTGTTCAATTAGCAAATCAGAAACAGAGGAGTCTCCTGTGACATATAATCAGCTGAAGCTCGGTAAGTATATCAGAAATTCTGTGAGCCTCACTCAAGTTGTTGCCGGAAGCTGCCTTCCTTTTATAGGCTTTGGTTTCTTGGACAACGCCATTATGATAATAGCTGTAAGCAATTATAGATTCTTATGAAGTTAATTGATTTCGTGCAGGGAGAATATATCGATTTGACATTCTCAGCAATGTTGGGTATTTCGACCATGGCCGGTATGTAAAATTGTCATCAGAATGTTTTTTTGTAGCGGCGGGTCTTGGGAACTTGGTTTCTGACCTTTTCGGAATTGGGTAGGTTTCTCTTCATCAAGCATAATTCCTAACAACTGCGGTTATTTTTACTTCTTAATCGTGAAGTTATTGTTTTAGATCTACTAGTATTCTGCATTACGTATAGTGAGATTAGCTATAGCTACCTTTTTGGTCGTTCATTTAACTCAAGTGAAGCAGTGCATAAGAGTTTTTTTCAGTTGTTTACACTGAGTTGTAGTACGATTTCTTCGACATCAGTCTTTATAAACAGTTGCACAGATTTTGGCAGTCAGCGGACTTGTTTTATGTATTCAACGTAGGGCATTTGCGTATACGTGTTTCTCCAATAACTTTGCTATTTCCTGACTAAGCAGGTCTCAAATTCACCGTTTTCCAAACAGGTACGTGATGGTACTTATGTATTCTTTTAGTGTTGAACAAAGCATATCTTATTCGGATTGTCAAATTTAAATCTAGTGAAAGTCAGTTATCAAAGTTAATTACTTGTATCATAAAAAGAAATGTGATTCAAAGGTATATGTAAAGTGGTTTATAACTCGAGAAATATGTAGTATAGAGTGAGTGTTGTGAACGTGGATTATGAATACAACTCAACAGTGAAACTTCAGGTCGTATGCAGTAACACGAAAAATTCTATTCACATTCATGACATTTGTGCAAAGCTACAGCTATTGGAGGTCTGTGAACAAAAGAAACGGCCGAGGTACTTTACAGCCTTTGACAATGTTTCCTTGGTCCTACTTTTACTTACTTTCTACTGGGAAATAGTAAAGTGAGCTTTCCGTTAAGATATCGTCTGCTTACACATTTATTTAGACGTGTTAAAACAACTGTGAACGTATTTACCGGGAGATGTAGACATTTTTCTTACTCTTTTATTACAGGCTTGTTGGATACGTCGAAAAGTTCATAGAGAAGATTGGTATTACTGTCCCTCCCCTATCTGCTACTCAACTTGCTTCTAACTCAGTTCGTTGGGCTGTAGCAATAGTAAGTATGCTGCTTTTGTATAATTAAATTTATTTTTGTCGATTGATGACACTTACACTCATGAGTTCGTTTTTATTTAGTGTTTAATTTGAAAAGAAACAAAGCATTCACTACTTTAAAACACAGTCCCTTTAATAGATTTTGATAATGCTATTAGGACACGGAGTTTATTTGAAGAAAACAAGTAGTGTATTTTCTCCATGAATTTCCAACAATTTGATCACACCTTTTCACATCAGTTTTTGTTAGAAATAAAACTGAACAAGTGATTTTATCACATCCCATATTGTATATGACTGCTTATATACATGCTTACTGACAAGTAATCGGGCCTTGCGCGTGAGAGTGGTAGGACATATACCCAAGTGGCTTGTAAAATGGTTGAGCTTTGAAACGACGAACGCAGATGGCAGTATAACAACCTCATCTATATCACAACACCTAATTGATATGCTTCACAAGACTGATATCAAAAGATAACCAGAACTCTATCGCTTGGAATAGATTTCGCATGTAACAGGATATGAACATGAGCGATTATGATACTATGCAGATGTCCAGCCAGGAGTAGACAGAGTGGGACTGGAAGCAGAGGCTAACTGACTGAATCTGGGGTACTCGACCCAATAAGGCTTGCAGTTTTTTTTTTTGATTTTACAGCTTGATTCCACACTGTATTTTTGGTACAAGTATGGAATTTTCAGCATGGATATCGGTAGCCCAAATTTTGCAGGCCGACCATAGATATCAGGAGTGCGCCGGCGTGGGCTCGAACCCCGGACCATGTGAATGGTCGGCGAGAGTCCTAACCACTGTGCCACCGACGCACATTTCAGCCAGATCTGCTTAGAATCCTGTTTACATAACGGTTCAGAATTTGTCGACTAATTTAGGATTGGACACGTGTCTTGTTAGAGATAATACTTATCGGAGTTGGTATACTTCTTGGATGTCCAAACCAAAATGGACACGTTTTCGAAATAAAGTCCAATGCATAAGACATTAATTTCAGCTGCTGCATTCGTATAGTCACTAATGACTGAAACACACTCATACACCATTCATTCCTTTCAGATTCATGAGCTTATATGCGCCCTTGCTTTGCGCTTACTATTTCGTTGCTTTTCTTGATGAACGGTTTGTATCTACCAATATGGTGGTAAGAATATAACATTAGAAATAAACCTCTAACTTTTGCAAAAATACGCATTGCTAAGAAAAGGCAGTGAACATAACTTAGCAAAGATAGACTAAACATCGATATAAGTGTAAAGATTCTTTTCAACTAATTTATTATCAAGCTGTACAATCGTGTACATATAGTTTTTTAAAGAAATTATATACCGTGAGGAAATTGAAACAAAGGTGGGTAAATAAAATAATAGTATGAAATCCAATTAAACTGTTAGTTTCAGGATTTCATCATGAGCTGATATTAGTTAGAGAACCATTGGAAAACCTGGGAGTACTGGACAGCTGTTTCGTCCTAGTTTGGGACTCTTCGGCAGTACACACCCACCGGGATTCGAACCCAGGACCTTCCGGTTACAAGGAAAGCTAGCTCGTATACCATTAAGCCACTGGGACCCGATCCAATGTTTCTTGAATTCTAACTTCTGCCAATTCACGACATAGTGCGACGGCTAGCTAATGTCTTCGGCAAGTATTTATCCTCACACCCGACCCGCTGCACCATACTGGTCACGACTTTCCACTGGAACCCAGGCAGTTACCTACCTACGAAACAGCTGTCCAGTACTCCCAGGTTTTCCAATGGTTCTCTAACTAATGTCAGCTCATGATGAAATCCTGAAACCAATCAAATCCCTACAAACCAACACTTGAATAAAATGTTAGTATTTATAATCAAAGTTAAGTGTCGAGTGGCAAAACAACTTGTGTTACATATAGAATTGTTTATAAGGATGCATAGATGTTAAAAGTGGGCGTAAAATTCTGTCTGTTTGTTTTCGACATAGAACTTTGCACAAATGTGTGGCAGTTTAAGTCGACACACCGTGTAGCACGCGAAGCAAGAGAAGAAAGTACAAGAAAAGCATAATAGAAACAGTGAGCAGAGGTGTGAGGCAAAGGAGAGAGCAGAACTGTAGTAGACGGTCACCGTTGTCGGTTCGCTAGCACGGAACTCCATAGGTGCCATAGATATCCTTCTCAGATTGACACAATTTCCCTACTTGAGCGTTAAAGTCACCAGCTAGAACGACTATGCCTGAGCGTTTAGCCTTTCGCACCAAACTAGACAGCTTTTGGTAGAACTCATCATTCGTTTCATCTGAACTGCAGTCAGTGGGGGCGTAGGCGGAGATTACGAAAAGGCATCGGCGAGTAGTGCAGTCCTTTCTCCTTCTTACTGATCCGTTCAGACGGACAGCACACATTCGGCTATCTACCGGGATCCAGTCAAGCAATGTCTTTTCTGCTCTAGTACTCAAAGCTATCCCTACACCAGCTAATCCTCGTGAACTAGCTGTGGCGTCTCCTGACACCCTCAAGGTGAATTTTGCAGATTCAACCTGTAGGCCAGGTGGGGTTAGGTGAATAACCACACTTGGGTCTTGTATGCGTGTTTCTGAAACACCACATACATCAATGGCTCGGGATGCCAGGGTCTTGGCTAGTGATGCTTGTTGTCCTATTTGGCACAGTGTCCTAACATTGTTGTTGGCGCGGCTTTAAGAGGCTGTCGGTGGTGGTTTTTCGGCTTCCATCGTTTTTAGTGGACGCAGAGTGGAGAGGAAATGGAGAGCTATCAAGTCGAGGAGTTGCATCAGTGGAAGGAAGGCAAGATGATAGAGATGAAGATGAAAACAAAGATGAGTGAGTAATGGAGAGGTTTCGCGTGCGTAAAATTACAGGATTAGTAATCAAATAGAAAGCGTTGCATAACATGATGTGAAATTTGATAAGATAGAATTTAACATTGCAGGAAGTTCTTTCGACTTAGAAATACTGCCGAAAACAGTTCGAAGTAAGAAAAATAATAGTAACAGTAATAATGATTATCACTGAACACTACTAGCTAGTGTGGTTTGTCTGGTCCTTTGTTTAGTGCAGACTGAATTCTATCAGTCAGGTGTGCAATGTGACCAGCATTCTAGGTAGCTCGCTATCACGATGCACTTTAAATTGTTGATGTTAGATGGTTGAAGGCAGTCGGCAGGAAGCCTTGGACCTAGGTTTTGTGCTAGTTGGCCCGACCGAAAGCTGCTACCTTGACGTGGTGGTCGGGCTTGAACACCGCAATGATCTATTCAAGCTATACTGGCTGAGATTTATGTCTCTTGAGGTCCTACCATGCCAGACAGGTTGTTTGGATAGCGGTTAAACAAAATGCAGCTACCCAATCCAACATCATAATAAATACAAAATCACAAATTTTCATACCGGATCAAGCTATCAAGTCGAGAAGTTGCATCAGTGGAAGGAAGGCAAGATGATAGAGATGAAGATGAAAACAAAGATGAGTGAGTAATAGAGAGGTTTCGTGTGCATTTCGGATTGTGAGGGTGATTGTTACTTCCCGGCTGCCCACACCATGGAAGTTGGTTGCGTGACCGCAGAGCCCAGGGGACAACTGCTTGGGGCCGGTCACACGCGGCCTGCTTTTGTTTGTTCTTTGTTGTTTTGTGTGCCTCAGAAGCATATTTAACACTCCTACCCTGTGACACGGCAGCAGGAAGCGCGATTGTTGTTAATCCGGGCCACGGCCGATCCGGTATGAAAATTTGTGATTTTGTATTTATTATGATGTTGGATTGGGTAGCTGCATTTTGTTTAACCGCTATCCAAACAACCTGCCTGGCATGGTAGGACCTCAAGAGACATAAATCTCAGCCAGTATAGCTTGAATAGATCATTGCGGTGTTCAAGCCCGACCACCACGTCAAGGTAGCAGCTTTCGGTCGGGCCAACTAGCACAAAACCTAGGTCCAAGGCTTCCTGCCGACTGCCTTCAACCATCTAACATCAACAATTTAAAGTGCATCGTGATAGCGAGCTACCTAGAATGCTGGTCACATTGCACACCTGACTGATAGAATTCAGTCTGCACTAAACAAAGGACCAGACAAACCACACTAGCTAGTAGTGTTCAGT